ACTTCAAAGACCTTTTCACACCAGACTTGAAAGAGAATCTTCTGAACTGTAATTCATGCTTAAATTCCACACTTTACATCTCAGTCTAAACAAAGACATTAATTATCTTACCCATTATAAAAGATAGCTTCCCCAATTATCACCTCTAATATCATTAGCTCTCAGACATTTACCTCCACCCCCCCTCATCCCACTTCTGTTCTGAAATTTGATTTGTCCTTTTCATGTGTGTTCATTTTTTTGATTGTATCCTTTGGTATAAATGGTTGTGCCAATTTTCTTCCACTATTTGATCTGAGGAAGTGAGTCTGGCCCACAAAAGCTCATCACCTAATAAACCATCTTGTTAGTCTTTAAAGTGCTACATAGTCCTGTTTTTTGTTTCAGCTATACCAGACTAACACGGCTACATTTCTATCACTATGGACATGGTAGTTTGTCTGTTAAAAGCGTCAAATGATTTTCAGCCAGTCTAGCCCTCCTTGACTAGATTAACATTCTTGAATGTCTTGGCCAAGATTTTAAAAAATGGAATCCTTATGTTAGTCTCTTTATATCTGGATTTAGGCACCTGAATAAATGGTTTGACTTTTGAAGAGTCAGTCACCTAACAGTGCGCATTGAATTTAGTGTCTAAATATAGGCTTCAGAGGTTAACCTAAGACACCAATTTTTAAAAAATCTTCACTCTCAATTCCAATAAATATTACCTTGTGATGAACCAGAGCTTCCTGAATAATGGGTTAGCTCATTCTTTTATTGAAGGTGTGATTTTGTAACTGCTTTTTGTTTCCCCATTTAGAAATTTAGTTTTAAAAATTGTTTTTTTTTTATAACGTAAAATTGATCCCTCCGCTCCCCCCCAAGGGAACCTAACCTGGAATTTTGAAAGTACTGATTTTGTGTCATTAGGTACAGTCTGAGAAGGCAATAAAATGAAGCTGGAAGATTTTATTTCAGTCCCTGGACATACAGACAATTTTTTTTAAGTGTTACAGTTTGGTCTCTTCTGTACTTACCCCCAAAATTTTCATTGCTTGTATGTGAGAGGTAAGATGATAGACAGAATCCCAGGGGTAGATCAGTCTCTATTCAGAGATGATCATAGATTATCTAATCAGTTCACTTTGATACACTTTATCATTTTTTTATTACCAAAAAGGAAAGTAGTCTATGTAGCATATGAAAACAAATACAGGAATGCTTCAAAGCCTTTTCGGTCTTGAACTTGACTGATGTTATTTATTCTACTGCAGCTTAGTGCTATGACCATCTTGCTTTGCTGAATATAAACTTGTGTGGCAGTGTCCTTTTGACACTTGTCATCAAGAATGTGATTTTAACCGGCATCATTTTAAATAAGAATCTTGAGGTTGTCGTGGTCAAAAGGATGAAGATCATGGAAATATAGAGGCGGTGATTTTGTTTCCATTTTTTCCTTTCACAAAATCAGAGTCTATGGGAATTGTATCTGTATCTAAAATATACTACTTTTTTTCTATTTTAAATAAAAAATATTGAACAGCAAATATGTTTTGAGAATAGCTTTGGTCAAATGGTAGGACTTACATGAAAGGTTAAACTTAGTAAACCCAGACTAACTTCAGTGTTTATATATAGATGTATAGTTGGTAGAACCAGGAGCTTCAGTCCAGGTATAGTAAAGGTTGCCTGACACTTTTTAGTTGCTTATAACTTTGCTAAACTTTTGGCTAGGGATGTTAAAATTATATTAATCAACTAATCGAATAGTCGATGGAATTTTGATTGATTATTCGATTAGTCAATAAGGGTGCTTCTGCTTTGAAATGTAACATGAGCCACCTGGCTGTACAAGAGCCCCAGTAGAGCCTGCTGGGCTCTTTTGCATTTCAAAGTGGAAGCACCCACATGGACCTCAGAGTCAGTGAGGGACTCCCCGCTGGCCCCAGGCTCCCTGTGGCGTTTCAATCTTTGAAATGCACAAGAGCCCCCGCTGGGGATAACTCGGAATCCCCCAGCAGGGACTCATGTACATTTCAAAGTTAGAACACTGCCGCTGCGCCCCTGCCCCCTTCCACGGAGCCTCTTTCTGATAGACTATTTGATAAGCTTTTGCTTATCAGATAGTTGACTAGTCGATTAGTCGTTTACATCCCTACTTTTGGCCAAAGTTTCCCATGCTGGGTGTCTGTTTCAAACCGAGTCAATTTGGGAAGCGTCAACAAAAAGGGGTTCTGCTATTTTAAGGAAAATACATTGTTTTGTACCTATTACATCTTGGAACTGTTTTGCTGAGGAGTTCTAGAGTCTCTGTGCTTTGGAGCAAGCGCTCAAAATTTAACAGGGGCGGGGGATGACCTTTCTGCCAGGGATTTGTCTTTTGTTGAAAAATGTAACCGAGTTATAAACCTGAGAAAAATTACAGTTTGCACACTAGTAATTGTAGTAGAGTTTGGATGCAAATTTTTTGAAAAGATTCCAGCTGTACTGAACATGCTCCATCCGAGATTTGCAGGGGCTGAGAGCAACCTCTCCCTGAAATTGCTAGGGCTGTAGAGTCAGGCATCAGAAGTGCAGGGATCTCATCTCTCCTGTGCTTTCAGTGCTCCCTTTGCTAGCACCCAAGCAGCGCAGAAGAGAAATCTGCTACTGGGAATGCAAATAGGATAAAAGTTGGGCCTCGGAGGGCAGAAGAGGGAGTAGACTGGAACAGGAAGGCTCAGGGCAGGGAGAAATAGAGTGACTGGGCAGAAAGATTGGGACTGGGAGCAGGAAGAGTGTGGTCTGATGGGGAGCTAAAGGGGTTAGGCATGAGGGAAACAGAGTGGAGTGGTGTGTGGCCAGTAGAGCACATGTCCCTCCAGAACCTGGAATGGAATCAGGTATTCCTGAGTCGTCATTTCTGTACTGTCAGCAAGTGACTGAAACCACTGGCAAAGTTGTCTCATTCTCCTCTAGGAGCAGATCCAGACGGGTGATAACAGCCTCCCTATCTCTGTTATCCCCTGCCTCAGTCACTGTACACCTTCTATCTCCTGCAAAAGCAGAGGCAGATAACCGCCTCTTGCACTACACTGTTCTGATTCTTCCTTGGAGAACAGTCCATCCTGTGTACTAAATGAGGCAGGAGTCCTGGGGGGAAATAACATGTGTTCATGTAATTAAAAATTATATTTGCACAAGTGCTCTGAATTAAATTTTTATGGGCAACCTTAATTTTGACATTTCCTAAGTCATTGGTAATTTAAGTAATTGGTAATTGCTAGTTGAAATCACATGAGTGGTGTAAAGGGAGAGGATTCCCCTCCCACACTCATGCTGAAAGAGATGCTGAAAGAATGATCAGAGAGGATTGAATTGCAGCTGGTATAAATCAGCACAGCTGAGTTCATTCTCCAGATCTGTGATTTACTTTATTTCTGGATGCAGCCCATTATGCCGAATGTTTGCCCTCTTTCTCCTTGCAGGGGAAAAGGAGGGCAGAAAAAGTTCAGGAAATCCAAAAATATCTAGTAAATGCATATGTTTGTTTCTCTTGTGCAAAATGTACCTCCCTCCCAAAAAAATATCAAACCTCACCATTCGGCATGTGTCGTATATGCCTGTGTCAAGGAATCTTTTCAACAGTATGGCTTCTATCCCCATCTGCTGGATCAAGCAGACAGAGCATGTTGAAGAAGTGTGCACTTCAAGACACTTTGGGAAATATTTGGACTCTCTCAAAATATTCCGTAGGCAGACTTATCTTTGGCATTTGATCAGACAGGGCCTGTTTGTATTTGGAAAGAGCATGCCAGGCTTTATGAAAGGGGGCTCATTAAACCTTTGCAACTAGATGCACCAGAAGGCGTGCCCAAATGCACCTTTTGGTTTGTGTAGAACCTATTTTGGCAGCAAACGGGATGGTGGGTGTTTGTGTTATGCAGTCATCATACATATGCATTCGGTCTGCAAGCCAGAATTGTTAAAGGTCTTTCCTACTTTCAGCTTCTAGACTTCTTAAGTAAATGTGACTTAAAAGAAGTTTTTTTTAAAAGTGTTTAAAAAAATTAGAATGGCACCATTTCTGATTATTTCCAGGTCTGGGAAATTAGCAAGCGAACTTCTCATTCTCATCATCTGAATTAAGTTGAAAGAGCCAATAACAAATACTTTTAAAATAAGAAGTGAACTATTTTATAAATGTAATTCAGACTGTTGGCCTAATTTTGAACTCCTAACTCTGGTAGAGCTCCCATCTAAATCCAGAAGGAGTGTTACCTAAATAATGAGCTAAAGGCCCTAAATTTTTTACATTAGCAAAACTTGACAGACTCCCCCTCCACCTGCCACCAGAGTGAAGCCTTAGCAGAGTTAGAGTTTTAATCTTGTGGTTTTCTGTAGCCCTGTAATTCCTTTCCTGCTTTCCCTCTGGGATTGCTCTGGTTTATAGCACAGTACCCACCCAGGAGTTAGCAAGCCAAGTGCGCTTGCACATCAGCTTTGTGGTCCTGGTGAGGGCTGGTCCTTCAGAGAACCGCTTCCAAACCAAAACAGTCAGACACGTGCTAAAATTTAGTAATGCCATATGATGGGGCAAGGACTTAGTCTTGGGTCTGATCTGGTATGGCAGTTTCATTGTCCTAAGTATCACTGCCTCATCTTTAAAATGGGAGCAATAATTCTTCCATATCTCATCAGGACAGAGAGATTTGTAAAGTGTGTGCAGTACTTTGAGATCCTCAGATGGAAAACCTGATAAAAATGACAAATATTATTGTAATAATGAAATCTAAGAAATTAGTTGTCTATGTGGTGCCTTCTGTTGCCTGATGATGTTGCCTTTATCTTAAAATACACATAATCTGAAAACATGTTTGCAGAAAGATTTTTTTAGTTTTATAGTTCTCTCCCACTGATCTTTGGAGCTTGTCTGGTTACCATTGTAAAGATCTTTGGTTACAAGTCTGAACAACAGCCTGACATGAAGCTTTCATACTTAGTGTCTTTTAATGGTTCTTTTTATTCTTTCATAACAGCTACAAGCTCCCAGTGTGAAAGGGTTTGATTTTGCTAAACAGCACCTGGGCCAGCACAACAAAGACGATATCCTGATCATTCATGAGCCAGCTCCTCTCCCGGGACCTGTTAAAGACGCTAACCCTTCTGAAAATGGAGCCGTGCCAACCCCCAAATCAAAGACCACTTCAAAGCCTTCAAAGAATGTTCGACACAGAGGGAGGTTAGTTCAGCTGAAGAGAAGTAGCCGTGGATAGATTATGGTTAATTAACTGCAAAGTATCATTGTACAATGCAAAGTATTTTCAGTTAAGGATCCTTGACTTTGGCACGTGCTTTTTTTAGCTATTCATTACAGCTTATGCCTAGCTACTTTATAGCAGCCATTTCAAGACTGGGGGGGTTTTTTTTGGTTTTGTTTTTGTTTTTGTTTTTTATTTTTAATTGCATCATTTTCAGTTAAATGGAATATCTTAGGCTGGGTGTGGGTTGGGCAGAATAGAGCATTATCTATGATAGGATAACATGAAGTGTATGCTTTTCATGCATTAGATTTTCATGCATTGTAATTCCTTCTGGTTAGTAGGGGAATGGGTAATTAAGAAATCTTATTAGTGATACTAGTTGCAATTATTATATGCAAGTCTAATATTCTCATGACTCAACAAGAGCTGCAAAACTCAAGGATGACACCCTTTTCTGTGCCCATGACTGTTACCTATCTGCTAAATGTCCAACACTCTCCTCACACTGTCAGACAAAAAGCTCCACAGCTAAGCAAGTTGAGAACAGCATATCATCCTTTACTTAGAATTTCCTGACCTTCAGCAAGAGCTGAATGACATTAGTCATTCACTCCTCAGTGTACTGCCAGAGCCAGAGAGCATCAGACCTGTGGGGAGGAAAAGTGTGTAACAGAGGCAGTAAATTAGAGATGATAGTGCTGTGGCATTTTGTAATGACTGAAGTCATCCATCTTCTCTCTAAGAGAGCTATTCATTATCTTGACTGTTGTGATGAGGGAGGTCTCCTACCACCCCAGTTCTCTGTCTCTCGTGCAGCCCTCTGAAGAAGGAAAGCGGTACTCCGATAGTCTCCTGAGTATGTATGAGTCACATAACTAAATGTCACTAGAGCTGCAGTAGGAATCATTCTCACCAAAGAGGGTAAACGGGATGTGCTGCAATTTTTCAGAAGAGACTGGATAGAGGATTATGGAAGACTGGTGGCTGCATTGCTCACAAATTTGCCGATTTTAATGAAAGTCCCTGATAACTTATGAAACTACCCATATGAAATGTTTGCAGTTTTGGCATCTGTAACTTCCACAGCCTTACACCTCACTGGTCTTCCACACCCAAATGCCAAAGCTCCCCGCCTCCTTTACCACATTTAGAATGTCAGTGCTGAAACGTGTCAGTGTTGATGCCTATCAGTGTTTCAAAGCTGAATGTGGTGGAGAATTAGCAGGGCATGGGATGGATGAAGGTGATGAGTAGGAGTGGGTGGGGACAATGGGGCATGGGATTGTAGGAAATGTAAGAGGGTGCCTAGGAAGAGTACGCTTGTTGGGGGTGAGCACCGCGGAAGTGTGTGAAGGAAAGGAGTGTGGCACTGCAGGGAGAGTATTGGGTGGGGTGCAGAGCTGTACTAGGGTATCATAGAATCCTAGAGCTGGAAGGGATCTCAGGAGGTCATAGAGTCCAGCCCCCTGCCCAGAGCAGGGCCAACCCCAACTAAATCAACCTAGCCAGGGCTTTGTCAGACCAGGGCTTAAAAATCTCTAGGGGTGGAGATTCCACCACCTCCCTAGGTAACCCATTCCAGTGCTTCACCACCCTCTTAGTGAAATAGTTTTTCCTAATAGCCAACCTAGACTTCCCCCACTGTGACTTGAGACCATGCTCCTTGTTCTTCCATCTGTCACTACTGAGAATATCCTCTTTGGAACCTCCCTTCAGGAAGTTGAAGGCTGCTATCAAATCCCCCCTCACTCTTTTCTTCTGCAGACTAAATAAGACCAAATCCCTCAGCCTCTCCTCATAGGTTATGTGCTCCAGTCCCCTAATCATTTTGGTTGTCCTCTGCTTGACCCTCCCAATGCGTCCACATCCCTTCTGTAGCGGGAGGGCCAGAACTGGATGTTATATTCTAGATGTGGCCTCACCAGTGCCAAATAAAGGGGAATAATAACTTCTCTAGGTCTGCTGGAAATGCTCCTCCTAATGTACCCTAATATGCCATTAGCCTTCTTGGTTACAGGGGAACACAGTTGACTCCTATCCAGCTTCTCATCCACTGTAATCCCCAGGTCCTTTTCTGATGAGCTGCTACTTAGCCAGTCAGTCCTCAGCCTGTAACAATGCTTCGGATTCTTCCTTCCCAAGTGCAGAGCTCTGCATTTGTCCTTGTTGAACCTCATCCGATTTCTTTTGGCCCAATCCTCTAATCTGTCTAGGTCACTCTGGATCCTATCCCTACCCTCCAACGTATCTACCTCTCCCCCTAGCTTAGTGTCATCTGCAAATTTGCTGAGGGTGCAATCCATCTCCTCATCTAGGTCATTAATAAAGATGTTGAACAAAATCGACTCTTCAACCGATCCTTGGGGCACTCCCTTTGAAACCAACCGCCAACCAGACATCGAGCCGTTGATCACTACCCATTGGGCCCACAATCTAGCCAGCTTTCTATTCATCTTACAGTCCATTTATCCAATCCATATTCCCTTAACTTGCTGGCAAGAATATTGTGGGAGACCATATCAAAAGCTTTGCTAAAGTCAAGGTATATCACATCTACTGACTTCCCCATGTCCACAGAGCCAGATACCTCCTCATAGAAAGCAGTACGGTTGGTATAGCATGACTTGCCCTTGGTGAATCCATGTTGACTATTCCTGATCACTTTCCCCTCTTCCAAGTGCTTCAAAATGGATTTCTTGAGGATCCCCTCCATGATTTTTCCAGAGACTGAGGTAAGGCTGACTAGTCTGTAGTTCCCTGGATTGTCCTTCTTCCCTTTTTTAAAGGGTAGGGGAGCTGATTTGGC